CATATAGAACTAACAAGTTTGCTCCATCTGAAACGCTCACTACATTTCTAGTTCACCACATATAGAACTAACAAGTTCGCATTAGTCATCACTTCACTTCTTGCCTCTTTTTGCAGCCATCTTCCCCCTGTTGACGTAGCCCTCTGGAGTGTTCTGCCATCCAGGACGTCGGATGGTTCTTGAGCTAACTCGGCGTGCTTCTTCAGAAGGCTGAGAAGGTTGAGTTGGCGGTGGAGCATCTTGCATCTGCGAAGCCGCAAGCTCCACATAGTCCGGATCCGCATCGTAGTCTGTCTCCTCCTCTTCATCTTCCTGTTCATCAATCCGTGCTCGGCTCGAAGAAGCACCTGCTCGGCTGGAAGATGGACGAGCGGAAGAAGCACGTGCTTGGCTCGAAGATGGACGAGCGGAAGACAGCACATCCATTCTATACTGAGCATGTGCACGCACACCCGTGGATGAACCGCCATGGCAAGAAAGTAAAGCGGCTAGTGTTCGGCAACGATTCATAACCTTCTGCAGAGGCAAAGACATTGACATGTAAATATGCAAAAATAGTTCACATGACACATGTTCATATTAAGAGGGCCTCTAACCTGTAAAGTACTCCTAACGAGAACGTCTGTTTCTCTACCAGGTGCGCGGCCAAGCACCACATTACTATCATTGATACATCTCCATAGCTCCGTGCCCTGAATAAAACTTAAGTGACACACCACTCATGAAGAAATGTCACATGTTCAAAAAAGAGACACAAAGACATACCACTCGGTCATGCAGAGGGCCATAATCTAGGTGCGCTCCAATGGTCTCCCTAATAGAGTTGTTGAATGCACCATCAGCAGTCTCACTTGGCATTACTTCCAAGCAATCGGCACGAGTCCAAGCACCCTTAAGGATAACTCTGTACTCTTTGCGAAGCCACTCCAAATGCCTTAAATATGCCCCCTCGTCGTTGTCAGGTGTGTGATCATCTTCAACTTGGGCATTCCTCCAAGCATTCCACATGTCTACCCACATAAGATGGTGATCCTCCCAATTAATGACATTCTTGTTGTGTTGCCGGCTCGTCCTACAAAGCATGAGAAGTATCGGCATCATTTTCATTTTTCCGTGGTTACACATTGTTCAACATATGGTACAAGAAACTCTCACCTATGTAGCACCACACTTGTCTCAACATACTCCGGCGGGGTGCGTTGTTGTACTCCAAATTGCTTCGAAACACGATGTGGAAGATGCCACTCCACCGCAAAAAAACATATCATGGGGCAACGCACACGCCAAAGATGTTGGTCATGAAGGCACATATTGCTCAAAGGGAACTGCCTAAGTACCATGTACGGCCTCCAATTAACCTACATCACAACATGTCACTAGCTCATGCACAACAAAAAAAATCTATAATGATGGCAAGGGATTTGATAATTACCTGGTTGTAAGTGAGCATGTCAAGCTCGCTTATGTATGCCTTATACCGCCCCATGGCGGCGATACTAGACACTTGGACATAAGCCCAAGTGTATGCGATAGTGGGATATCGCTCCTCATCCCCGTCAAAAGGCCACTCCCAAGGTTCTTCCGGAGCAATGGTGAAGTTACGGCCCACAGGGATACGCTCCCACATCCAAATCTGTAGGGCCCAAACAAAACCACCAAGACAAGATTTCGGCTTACTCCTCATACATGCTCCGTCCAACTGCACATTTGTACACACATTAAACAATCACAGGAAAAAATTTCTTTCATATAATGAGAATGCATCAAATTATCATTACCTGACGGTACAAGAAGGCTAGTTCCGCCGACCCCCAACTCCACTTGACATCCCAGTTACGAAGAGGGGCCAAGAACATCGACGAGGCTGTGTCTCCCGTGCCGTCAGGAAACACCACTTGGGTCAAAAGATTCCATAAGTAAGCCCTGGCGTACCTCTCCACAACAGCCGGACTTGCATTCTCTGGGCACTCGTAAAAATGTTCTTGTAGCCACGAGAACAAAATACCAGATGGCCTAGGATCCTTCTTTGTTTCATGAATCCACGGGGGAGGTTCAACACCAACCAAACCTGCAACCCTTTGTCGCCACCCCTCAGACCTCACCTTCCCGGTAAGAGCCTTGCCCTCGATCGGAAGACCGGAGATCATCGCAATATCCTCCAAAGTAACGGTCATCTCACCAAGAGCAAGGTGAAAAGAGTGCGTCTCCGGTCTCCAACGGTCCGTAAGGGCGGTAATGGCCGTCGAGTTCAGCAATGGTGGTGTGCCTTTAAAGTTGAGCACAAACTGGAGAAGATCCAATTCTTCTAAAATAAGGCTCGTAGCGACGGTCATACCTCAAGGACTCACGTGGGTTGTGGCCTCTCAAACGAAGTACTGGAGGAACCTACAAATAACACACGCACAATTTATATACTTCTCTAAACTACTCACAATATGAGAATCAACAATGTAGATACATAATTACCTCCCCTCTTTCCACTAGCACACCACGATGCTTCTCGTAATAATCATCAAGGCCGGAATATTTATCCGGCTCAAACATCCTACAAAATAAGGTCAATGGATTTGTTATAATATATGCTTAAAATTATGACCACATCATATACAAAATCGTGTGAGAACTACTACAAATTATCCCAAAGATACATTACCAACACCAATTCTTTTCAACCTATTTTATCCTAAAGAATCTATCACAACTAATTATTAACAAATAATAGGCTCAACCTAATAAAAAAATGGTCTCTCTCTAAATCCAATAATAAACAAGTTAACTAAGAATACTTAAACACAAGGAGTATATGTCTTCTTTCTAAACATAATGTAACCAAAATATTCATCAAACAAATCACTAATAACTCATCTTAGGGTTCCACCATGTTTGAAAAAATACATCTACAATAGCCAATCTTGACTGAAAATAAATGGAGGATTGGGAGGAGAATACCTCAAGCAACTCGGGGATGCTCCGACCTCCTCGTTTTGATGATCAAAATAGCAGATATGGGGAAGATTTGGTGAAGAAGAGGGAGGGGGCGGCCGCCAGTTCATCGTCGAGAAGGAACTGCTCGACCGGGGGAGTGGGCTGGGTTAGGCCCCAGCGGCACGCGCGCGTTACTTAATCCTAGTTAGAAACGCCAAGGACCTTGGCATTTCAAGCGTACCATGTCAGCGAAAACAGCGGGTTCAGACTGACTGTGGGCCAGGTCAGAAACGCTAGCTGCCTCGGCGTTTGCGTGTTGGCTTGAAACGCTAGCTTGCTCGGTGTTTCTATGTTGGGTGGAAACGCCGCGGACCCTGGCGTTTCTAAAAGGGTCAAATCGCGAAATACTTTCTCGTCGAGTTCAGTTTGTGACTATAAACGCTGACAAGGTCAGAACAGTGATTTCGGCCGCTAAATGCCAGGAGCAAGTGATGCTCCAGTCTTACAGCTTGCAAGACATGTGTCTTCTATGCCATGTGCAAGATTTTCTTCTTGCAGCTTGACAATCAATGCTTTCCACGTCGCTCATGTAACTGCAGCTTGGGAAGATCTGCGAAGTTATGGCTTCGTTTGTGGCCACCGCCTAAGAGATCATTGCTCGCCACGCTCCTCATGTAACTGTAGCCGCTGCCTAAGAGATCATATGAAGACATGATGCCTCTTTTCCAACACGTCCCTGGAACACCACCACACGACGGCTGAGGGTAGACTGTTAGGCTGCCCTGTGGCGGCAGCCCCGCAGGCTGTGCGTCGCCGAGCTTCTCGTCCCGCCGCATCCTATTGTTTTGCCCCGTGTGGGAGGAGGAGGTCTCTACCGACCCGGCGAAGTCTCGGAGAAGTCCTGAAAGTCAGTGAGGGTATCACCACGTTCGTTGGGGTCTGGAGGATTATGCCGCCGCCCTTGCTGGACCAAGAGACCGTGATGCAATTCTTTAGGTTTTTTTTCTTACTGGGAGATGTATTCGGCAGTTTTTTTAGATCAAGGATTAGTATTTTCTGATTTTATCTTGGAGATGTAATTGGCAATTTTTTTTTTGTTTTCACGAGAGACCATATGTAGGGCACGTTAGGGACTCACGGGTCAGGCTACCACGCTATATATTTTACGCATATCGAACGGTTATTGTAGTTATAATTTTTAGATCAAGGGTTAGTATTTTCTGATTAACGTGAGATTTTCCAGCCTAATTCTCTTACTTCTAATTAACCCATCATTTACTTTTTATATATAAATAGATTCTACATTTGGTTCTCAACTTTTCTTACTGGAGTGCCCTAATGTCTACATTCTTTTAAGTCTGGGCCAATGGTGCTTGTATGGAGCCAACTTGTTTTTATCTCTCTTAGAGTAGTTTTAAAATTTTCCACTGAACTTCCTGTTATATGTACTTGTTTCTGCATCCATATGTTCGGTTAACTTCATTCAGTCTTTGAGTAGTTGTAAAAGTACTTATTAAATACGGTCTCAAAAGAGCTGCACGGTTACAGTCTCAAAATCTATGCCGCCATGACTGCATGACCTCGTGCCATCCCACGACGCAGCCAGGGCGAGCTAACTGAAATAACAAACAGAATCCGCCAAGGCGTGAACATATGCACGCTGCCTGGCCGACCCCTTATTCAGCTACGAAAAAATAGAGTTTAGACTATGCAACTCTCAGAGAGCGTACATGGAATGGATAAGCACCGGATCGTTGATGAACACACTTAGCGTGGTAAGCTAGCAGATGATAAGAACTCTTGCTCCAAGCTATAACATCGTTGACTGTCTGCAGAGGTTGGATCGACTCCATTGCCTGAGTGAGACGGGACACTATGTTCAGCTCGTCCATTTTCTGGAGTGACATGAGATGACATCGAACGTTTCGTATGCAGAAGCTGCAAAGTCATCTCTACTTCCTTCATCGTAGGTCTTTCCTCGCCCTGGATCCGTAGACACATATCTGCAAGGGAGGCAACACTGATAATTTCTTCCTCGGTTGCTTCGTCACGAACTTGAGCAGCGACTATCTCACTTATTGGTCTTGCCTGCATCTCCCCAAGAAAGTAACTAGATAAACTCTGAGATGATCCTGACTCATTGGTAAAAACAGGCTTCCTTCTAAGAAGCAACTCCAAAAGCTGGACACAAAGCTGTACACGTCGCTCTTCTCATTTAGCTGCCCAGTGCGAAAATACTCCGGATCCAAGTACCCGAATGTGCCTTGTACGTGTGTGGTAATATGAGTTTGATCTATATGCACCAATCTTGATGCACCAAAGTCAGAAACTTTTGCAGTGTAGTTTGCATCCAGGAGTATATTTGAAGACTTGACATCACGATGGAAGACTGATATGGAAGCTGCAGAATGGAGATAATAGAGAGCTCCTGAAGCTTGTGCAGCAATTCTTAGGCAGACATCCCAGGACAAAGAAAAATTGTTGCTTGGATCAGAATAAAGGATTTCAAACAAAGAACCATTAGGAACAAAATCATACACTAGTAGTGGGACCTCACTTTCAAGGCAACAGCCATGAAGCTTTACGATGTTTCTGTGGTTGATCTGTGAAAGGATGGCGACCTCATTGATGAATTGGTCAATCTCACCTTGCTCAATGACATTAGATTTCTTAATAGCCACTACACGCTGGTCAGATAAGATGCCTTTGTACACCATGCCATGGCCTCCTCGGCCAAGGATCCGTGTGTGATCGAAGTTATTTGTTGCCCGCTCTAACTCTTCCAGAGAGAAAATCTTTGTCTTTTCACTTGCATCTTCACTCGATGATATTAGCTGTTCTAGAAGGAGGCCGTGGTTCTTTGTAAAATACTTCATTCTCAGTCTCTTTTGGACGCCTCTTCTGCATCTACGGAGGATAAACATTGCACTTAAGCCAAGAAGTAGAAGGCCCAAGCCAATACCAAGCCCAATAGCAATACCTGCAGCGAATGGCAGCGCACCTCAACATCAGCTTCATGTTTTGCTGTGTTCAAAATTAATTGAGTACGAAATTCACCTGATAGAATAGTCTGCTTTCTCGATGGAGCACACTTCATTTTTATAGTGTCATCATTGCATTTACAACCATCGGGTCCAGTAACATAGGGATTTCCTGCATAGCCATCATTGCATTTACAGCTATAACCCATTGTTGTCGAGTTGACATATAAACATTCGCTATTAGGGCTAACACATGCATATGTGGAGATATGTTGATGTGCCTCTTGGCAAGTTAGATTTGCGACTACCCATCGCAGTCTCCTTGAGTCTCTGTCAGCAATGTACAATGGTCCATAGTTTGACTGATCATGAGAGGTACCTTCGATGTCCATGTACCCCTCAGTAATATTAATGTTTGTGATATATCCTGTCATTGAATCTAGCAGCATGAAAGCTGATGTGTTGCAGTAGAGTTGAAATCCGGTCCTTGCGGAACAGCCATCTTCTAGTCCAAACGGAAAGGGAACCTTGATTTTACCACAAGACCGAGTGCATGTCACATTTCTTCGAGCTGACGGATTGTATCCTATTAAATTTTAAAAAATGTGCAAACTAAAATGATTGTAAGTGGTGAGATACTCAAGAAATCAAGGAAAGATTAGATGAAAACTTGTAGATTTATATAAGTGAATCGATTGTTACCGTGATCACTCGAGCAGCCACCGAGTACATACGGGTTGCCCGTGTACCCAACATCACAACAGCATGAATAACCAGGCATGTACGGGGTGTCTACGCACGAGCTGTGGCTGCTCACGCAGGCAAAAATGGTCTCATCTGCCGAAGCGGCGGCACATGTATGTTGGTCATTTATATTCCAATATAGCGTAGCTACCACACTCGCAATTTGGCGCTGCACCTGCTGGTGGGCCTCCTTGACAGGGACAAACTTGAGCTGCACGGGATTGGCAACCATATGGGCTTCGAAGGGTGGTCTGTGGTTGCATTTCTTCCCGTAAACCATATCGGGGTCTAACTCGTCCGGGTCACAGGAAGTGCAAAACGGGATTTCCGGACTTATGTTTGAGTTTCCAATCAAGTAGATGTAGAAATTGCACACGGTGATCCACAGGTTAGAGAGAGCGAAAACGAAATTGTACACTTCAGCACCCTGACTCGTTGAGATGGCAATTGAGAAGTCGATTAATACACCTGTCAATGGAAAGAAAAGACAAAGACACAAATTACTCAAAATCGCTGAGCAAGCTTGTACGGGACAAACTAATTATTCTGATTTTGAAGTGGAGTACACGCAAATTCGCAAGGGCACGCAGATGCGGGAGCACGCACCTACCCAGCCCTGCCCGGATGTCCGATTTGCCTCGCAATCCGCAAAGTAGTTGGACCCCGCATGAGGACGCAATAAGTTTTAAGTTTTATTATTTTAAACTTCAATTTTGCATCTGAAACTGACGATTTCCTCAGTCGCTCGTATCAAGTTCCAGGATTAAAACTATATAAGGGGAAGTTTTTGTCGGGCACCGGTACTGAAGTTGTGATTTTGTCGGTCGCTCGTACTAAGTTTTTAAAAATTGAAACATATCTTTTGAATTTTAAAAAACTAAATATATTTTATTCGAAAGCCCTAATCACGAAAAACACAAATATGAAAACAAAACTTAATTTAAACTCTTCATTCAAAAGATATAGAAGATTGAAAATAGAAAGTCAACAGAAAAGCACACACGGGCTCGGTGCCCCCGCACCTACGACTTCGTACCACAAATCCTCTCCCGAAGAGTATGCTGTACCAAGTACGTGATTTCTAAGTGTGAGTGATGAGCATCTTTGCTCTAAACAAAACGCCGTACCAGTGAAACTTTAAAATGTTCATTTTATGAAATCCTGCTGGTCTTATTTTTGCGTGCCAGGTAATCTTTAAAGACAGTTTGTTAAGACTTAAAGACTTAAACTAAGTTTGCTTGTAACTATCGGCCGTTGAAAATGATATTCTGGTTGCCCCGTTCTCAGAGAAGGAGGTGTTTGATGCTATTACACAGATGAAAAACAATAAGGCTTCCGGACCGGATGGATTCCCGGCCGAGTTTTATAAAAAGTGCTGGCATATTATTAAGGGGGATTTGCTACCTATGTTCCATGATCTGTTCTCTGGACAGCTTCAGTTATTTCACTTGAATTTTGGAACTATCACACTGCTTCCTAAGAAAACGGATGCTGTGAGAATTGAGCAATTCAGGCCGATATGCCTCTTCAATGTTAGTTTCAAAATTTTCACCAAGGTAGGGACTAATAGGCTCACACAGATTGCGCATTCTGTGGTGCAACAGTCCCAAACTGCTTTCATGCCGGACAGAAATATCCTTGAAGGGGTGGTCGTCCTGCATGAAACGCTCCATGAAATCCATTTCAAAAAATTAGATGAAGTAATTTTTAAGATGGATTTCGAGAAACCATACGATAAGATCAAATGGCCATTCCTCCAACAGTCATTGCGTATGAAAGGTTTTGATGAAGCCTGGCGCCGACATGTTGAATCATTTACGCAAAAAGATAGTGTGGAAATTAAAGTTAATGATGACATAGGTCATTACTTCCAGACACAAAGGCCTAAGACAAGGAGATCCGATGTCCCCTATCATGTTTAACATTGTGGTGGATATGTTAGCAATTTTGATAGGAAGGGCTAAGGAAAATGGTCAAGTAGGTGGATTAGTACCTCATCTCGTTGATGCTGGTGTATCCATCCTTCAGTACGGTGATAAATACAATTATCTTTATGGAGCATGACTTGGCCAAGGCGAGAAATATGAAGCTTGTGTTTTGCCTATTTGAACAATTGACCGGGTTAAAGATTAACTTTCATAAGAGCGAGCTGTTCTGTTTTGGTAGAGCCAAAGACGAACAGGAGGCTTATAGGCAATTGTTTGGGTGCGAGTTGGGAGAGTTACCCTTCTCTTACCTGGGGATTCCAATCCATCATCGTAGGCTGACAAACAAAGAGTGGAAGTGCATCGAGGACCAATTTGAGAAGAAACTGAGCTGTTGGAAGGATAAGCTAATGTCATACGGAGGCCGATTAATCCTGATTAATTCGGTGCTCACGAGCATGCCTATATTTCTCCTATCGTTCTTTGAGGTCCCAGTTGGTGTTAGGAAAAGACTAGACTTCTATCGATCGCGTTTCTTTTGGCAGGGTGATGAGCTTAAACGAAAATATCGGCTTGCTAAATGGGATATCATCTGTAGACCGAAAGACCAAGGGGGTCTCGGTATTGAGAATCTACAAGTTAAGAATAGATGCATTCTTAGCAAGTGGCTGTGGAAGCTCTCAACGGAGAATGATGCCATGTGGGCTCAAATCCTTTGTGCCAAGTACCTCCAGACAAAAAACTTTGTCACAGGTTACAGTCAGGCCGACTGATTCACCTTTCTGGAAAGGCATGATGAAAGTCAAATAATCTTTCTTTAATAGGATGAAGTTTGTTATTGGAAACGGCTCTAGTACACGTTTCTGGGAGGATACTTGGCTCGGCGAGACACCTTTGGCCATCCAATATCCGTCTTTATTGTTCAACGACGTGAAGTGTTCGTCGCCTCGGTATTTCAATCTATCCCCCTTAATATTCAGTTCCGACGGACGCTAGCGGGCAATCGTTGGGAAGAATGGCTCCGTTTAGTCAGGAGACTGATGGAGGTCCAACTATCTCAACAACCCGATGAATTATGCTGGAAATTGTCTAAGTCTGGAGTATTCACTGTTAAATCAATGTATATTGATGTTATTAATTCGAACTCCATTCCTACCTCTAAGCATGTTTGGGCTGTCAAAGTTCCTTTGAAAATAAAAGTGTTTATGTGGTTTGTCCATAAACAAGTTATTTTAACCAAGGACAACTTGATAAAGCGTAATTGAACAGGACCTACTAGGTGTAGTTTCTGTAATCGGGATGAGACTATCAAGCACCTCTTTTTTGATTGCCCGTTGGCCAAAGTACTTTGGCAGACGGTCCACATTGCTTTTAGTATCAATCCACCGAATTCTGTTAACGCATTATTTGGGACATGGCTTAATGGGATTGAGCCTGACTTAGCGAGACATATTCGGGTTGGAGTTTGCGCTTTGTTGTGGACTATCTGGAATTGCAGAAATGATTTGGTTTTTAACAGAACATCACGGATTCATTTTTTGCAGGTTATTTTCCGAGCTACAGCATTGATCCGTTCGTGGTCGCTACTCACTCCAATGGAGGCCAGGGAGCATTTGGTTACTGGATCTATCCGTTGGGAGATGGTAGCTCGGGATATCTTCAACCGGTTTGGATGGCGGTCATGTAATAGGATAGGCAATTAGTTTATCTATCTATTTTTAGCCAGCCGGTTGTGGCGTCTTTTCCTGGCTAGTTTGTGTATCTAGCCTTTTAGGCTTTGTGTGAGCTGCCTTTTTCTTTTTCAGTTCGAGACTTTGGAACCTTGTTGACCTTTTGCTTATTTGGTTAATAAGATGGCCGTATGCATCACTCTGATGCAGAGGCCGGCGAGCCCCCCTTTTCGAAAAAAAAAGTTTGCTTGTAACTTTTTTGTGTGGAAATGGGGATCATCATTTTAGCTACTTGGACCCTTTTTTTCTCAAAAAAGAGGCTAAGAGCATGTACAACCACCGGAGCCCCATATCATCACCAACGTCCATGCGGCCTGCCTAGTCACTATCTAACAACAAATTGCCACCTAACCGGATAGTGCATAGCCAGTGCAAACGTTAAGGGTTGACCGACAACATCATATCAAGCCCGTATCCGATGCGAATATGTGGCGGACCGGATGCGCCTGGAGATCACTGCCACGTCGGACCAGCCCATGCTGGCTGACGCCGTCCCTACCACTGTCCCCACAAATACCCTACCCGGACCAAACCCTAGTCAGACCTCACTCTCCCTTCCTTTCCTCTCCCTTCCATTCCACCATGGTCCACAACGGATACGGTGACGAATCTGATTCCATCGACTGGGCGAAGGTCGTCAAGGAAAACTTCAGCTCGTCCATGCCGGACGAGGAGGAGCTCGAGCTCCCAATTTCCCTTCACCGTTCAGGGATGGACAGGGGCAGGAGCTCCTCATCCGCGGTGTCCGCGATGGCCCAGAGGGGCAACAATAGCTCTCCACTAGCCCACGGCCGCACGACGTGGTCCGGGCTTTCCTCAGCTGGTCAGGCGGCAGGGTGACCTGCGGCGCCTGACAACTCCAACCCCTACTCCTCCTGGGCAATGCTGGGTGCTCGTGCCCGCACCGCCGAGCCTGCAGTCATGGCTATCAGAGTCTGAGTCGCTCGCCTATGTCCACACAAGGCAGAGTGAGACGTAGCCCGCCTCCAGCGGATCTGGCTGTAGGTCATACAGATCCATGCCAGAGCTGTTTCTGCTTGCCAACAACGACAACGAGATTCTCCACGACGTCATCAGCGCTCCTACACCTCGGCAGAGATGGACACCCGCCGCTGGCATCGCAAAAATGCGGTGATGCTCCTCATTGGGCTTAAGGAGTCTGAGTGGCTTGCCAGGCAGAAGGACGCCATGAAAGCCGCCCGGCTCACGAGGGAGCAGGCCCGTGGCGCCCGTTGTTTGGCCGGGATCATCTCCTCCTCGTCCTCCGACAGTGGGACCACATCTGACGACGTCGATGCTCCGCCCACTGCCGATGCCTATGTTGTGGACAACCACCACTCCGGACCGGAGACCCCAAAAGGAAGCGGCGAGGAAGTAATGAACTCCGGCGGCCCTCTCTGTTTATTTACTTAATCCAGCTTCTTGTTTTTGTTAAATGGATGAACCTGTTCTTTTGGATCGAATTGTGCAAAACTTTAATCCGCTATCTATGTAGATATATGCTATGTTTTTATGTTGCATGTTGATCTACGGAGTGTTCATCATGTTGAATATATTTGTACGTATTTAGGGGCTGACATTTGAAGACCAAGGTCCACGTTACGGATTGGGAGAAATGAGGGATGACGGTTCACTGTCCGTGACGCGCCTGCCACTCCCAAATTAGGCAATCACTGTTGTAGATGCTCTAAGAGTAACTTCAACGGGCTGACCTAAACGGATGGTGTTTTTGTTCGTTTTTTGTCTGTATGGATCGGTCGCCCGTCTGCCGGCCACTTTTTTTTAGATTTGGGCCGGCAGTGCGCCCAACGGGCCGATCCATTTCATAACCGCGCGCGCTTTAGATCATGCCAGCGCTTATACTGTCGCCCTAGTTTGGCGCTTCAGTGCGCGACAAAGGTTCACGCGCGCGCCGCGGCCGGCGCTCGTTATAAAAAGGCGCTCCCTCCACACTCTGTCCGCCGCCCACTCGTCCATCATGTCGATGCGCCGCCTAGGCGCTTCGGATTTTCGCGGAGTCCGCGAGCGCCGCTTCTGTGCCTTCTTATCCGAGATCTGGTTTGGCGAGAAACGTCTCATCTTCGGCACCTTCGACACCGCAGAGGAGGCGGCCCGCGCGCACGACGTGGCGGCGTGGCGCCTCTTGACGCCTCGTCGGGATATGAATTTTCCCGACGTGTCGAGTCAGCGGGCGCAGGATCTCGCGCCTCTCCTGCGGCTTTTCACCGATGTGGATCGTCGTGTCCACCAGTGGTGGAAGCGTCACCTCACCATCGCCGAGATGGACGAGGAAGCCATGGTGATGTGGCGCGAACGCTTCCCGCAGGACATCCTCGACGAGCGCCAGTTCTACAAGCAAAGGAGGACGGAGAGGGACACGAGGAGGACGGAGCGAGCCGCCTATCGGGAGGACAAGCGTGCGCCGAAGCAGGCCGCTCAATTGAAACCGAAGCTACGAGAAACGTCAGGTTGGGACTTCGAAGACGAGCAGCATGCTGACGCCTATATTCAGACGTCGGAGGAGGACATTACCGAGTCAGAGTCGGAAAGTGACAAGTAGTTGGTCTTTTCTTTTATCTGTGTACGCTAGAACTATCTATGTATCCTTTTTTATCGGAAAAAATGGCCGGCGGTGTCAGCGACGAAGCAGGCGGGCGAGGGTGTGATGTTTGATATGGAGAGGCCAATGTGCCACCGACCAGCGGGCCCGGGAAGGAGAGAGGGCGAACGCGCGCGTGTCCGTCTTGTGTCCGCGCCGACGCAAATTCGGCTCAAAAATGAGCCTGGAATGGGTCGGCAGGCGAACGAAAGCGAACGTGCGTCCGTTTGGATCGGCGTGTTAGGCCGACTTTTCTGTCCGCGCCGAACTAAACGATCGACGGCGGATGAAATGGGTCGCCCCATTAGAGTTACTCTAACACCTCTACTTTCTGCATCGATTGATGAAACAAAGCCAAGCCACCTGGAGCATTTGACCAACAACTTCATCTTCGAGTGTGCAACACCTAGTCTTTATGACTGAAGAAAGATCTCCAAGGATGACATGGCACTAGTTGTTGGCAAAAGGGTTTCTTATTCAGGCTTGGGACACCAATATCCTGATTTTTAGGTAATCTACTGCTAACTGATTGTAAAAAAAATACTTTCTTTATCTTTAATAAGATAATTGTGCACTAGGTAAATCACCTACCGTTCATCATTAAAAACACATAAATATGTCTACATACATCAATTTGAGCGACAACTAATATGAAATGGAGGGGGTAATTGAAGAGCATTTCGGAACTGTGAGGGAGTTTAGACAATCAAATCAGGGCGCTAGAAGTGCATTAGCTGCATTCGAAAAAAACCCGGAAGAAGTACTAGTTGTAGCTCTTACCGCCAATGGAAACCAGTGGAGCGCGGGTGTCGCCCATGAAAATCACGTCCATGGCGCGGTCCCTGAGATAGAGCCTCGGAGGGTACGTGGTGTTGTCGCAGATGAGATCAAAGCTGGTCTGCCGAGAGCAGCCGGGGCCTATGCCAAAGGGAAACATGATATCCTTATCGCCGCATTTGTTTGGACAATTGGCAGATGGGAATTTCCTGATGCTCTTTTGGTGTATTGGAGCTCCAGAATCGGATGCTGGCGCTGCTAATGGAGCCGTAGCCGTGGTGGTAGTGGTGGTGGTGGTGATGCAAGAAAGCAGCAGGAGCATCTGAAGCACGGTGTGGATAGCCATCTGCCACTAGATCAAGTCTGAGAAAGTTGAGCAAACAGAAGCACAATGAGATAACAGCTTGGGCTTTGTATGGTAGCTGTGGCACCGGGGCTTCCTTCTCCACTCTCCTCCGCTTGAATGCTCACTGTGAAAGTGCCTATTGGCCAGCTGGAGAATATGCGGGGAATTCCTGGAATTTTTTTTTTGGCATGCAACTGATTTGCGGATTTGCACGACGATGCAGACGAGCGTGAAAGCCCTCAGCGCACATGGCCACCGACGTGCGCGTTCAGGGTAATCGATTGCCTTTCCGGACGCCGCTGAACTGACCATGGTCGGTCCGGGTGAGGGAGAATATTAACTGGGTGCAATTATGCCCGACACATACGGAAGAAGACCAAGAGGATCAAGATTCCTATCATGCGCTACTCTCCATCGAGACCTAGGCTTGGCTTCACATGCTTTCTCAGCACAGATTGCACTTCCAGTACAACCTGCTACCTGCGGTCCCGCTATGGTGTGGCGTTCAACAGCGGAGAGGAAAGGGTGAGGGGAATACAGGCTGCACGGTGTTAAATGATAGGCTTGCTAGTTAGTTTGTATAGACGTGACACATATGTCACGATATTGTATACGTGTAATGTGTGCGTGTGTATCTTGTAACCAAGGCAGGTTGTTACGAAGATTTGATCTTATCTCTTGTATAGCTTGGAGGATGGGTCAAGACTCCAACAACCTGCCGCCGCATCATGTACTCTTTGTGCTATATAAACACGCACGTGTCCCTGCAACGATGCATACGCTTAACGCAAACCAATTCCTCTTACATGGTAATCAGAGCCTCTCTCGAGCTCATCCATGGCAACATCTTCAAGTACCTTCCCATCCTCTCCATTCGCTCACGTCGTCTCGGAGAAACTCACCAAGGGCAACCAGGCACTATGGCGGGTGACGGTGCTGTCCGCCATCCGCGGTGCTCAGATCCAGAACTACCTAAACGTCGATCATCCGGTGCCGCCCATGGAGCTGGAGATCACGGATTCCGACGGGAAAACCAAGAAGACCCCCAACCCGGAGTTCCAAACCTGGTATGCACAAGATCAGCAAGTTTTCTCATATCTTCTGACAACGCTGCCTCGTGAGATGGCAATTCAGGTCGCCACCTGCCACACCTCGGCTGAGCTGTGGAACACGGTCCAGGGGATGCTGTCCTCACAGACCCGTGCCGCGACCGTGAACGTATGGATCGCCCTCGCCAATCTTCAGAAGGGAAAAAACTCCATCACCGACTACGTCGGCAAGATCCGAACCCTCTGTGACTAACTTGTCGCAGCAGGCAAAAGGGTGGACGAGGAACATGTCGTCTCCCACATCCTGGCCGGGCTTGAAGAAGACTTAGACCCGGTGGTTTCGGCCATGTGCTCCCGTGTGGAGCCAGTCACCGTGCTAGAGCTGTACTCACAGCTTGTTAGCTTCGAGACACGGATGAACCTTCGCCACGGAGGATCGCAGTCCTCGGCGAACGCGGCGACACGTGGGCGTGGTCGCGGCGGTGGTGACCGCGGCCACGGTAGACAAGGCGGCGACAACTCTGGTGGTGATTGCGGCCGTCCCTACACCAGGCAAAACGGTCGCGGTGGAGGCGGCAGGGGCAACTACAACAACTCTGCTCCTGCCCCCAAGGTGGTGTGCCATATCTGTGGCAAGCCAGGCCACCCGGCCTGGAAGTGCTGGAAGCGGTATGATGAGTCGTACCTGGGAGAAGAAGAGAAGTCTGCCAACATGGTGACCCCATAGTACGGGGTAGACTCCAACTGGTACCTGGATAGCGGCGCAACCGACCACATCACTGGCGATCTGGAGAAGCTGACGGTGCGGGACAGGTAAACCGGCGGCGAACAGATCCACACTGCAAGCGGTTCAGGTATGGCTATCCAACACATTGGTTATTCAGCTATTCACACTCCCGACCGAGATATCCACTTAAACAAAATCCTTCATGTTCCAGAAGCCAATAAAAGCCTAATTTCAGCTAGTCATCTTGCCACCGACAACAATACCTTCATTGAAATCCATCCTCGATTTTTTCTTGTCAAGGAACAGGGAACGAGGAAGGTCCTACTTCGAGGCAGGGGTAGACGAGGTCTCTATCCTATCAAACACGTGGGGGGAAACGCCAAGAAGCAAGTGCTAAGTGCCATCAAACTGTCTCCAGATAGGTGGCACCGGCGTTTAGGTCATCCTTCTTCAGTTATCGTTAGAAAGATTGTTAGCAACAATAACCTCCCATGTGATAATTTGTTCAATAATGAGTTTGTATGTGATTCTTGCCAAAAAGGCAAAAGTCACCAGCTACCTTATCCAAAATCGATAAGTGAATCGAAGTATCCCTTAGAACTTGTCTTCTCTGATGTTTGGGGACCTGCTGTTGAAACAGTAGGGAGGAAGAAATTCTATGTAAGTTTCATAGATGATTTTAGCAAGTTCACTTGGATCTATCTCATTAAACATAAGTCTGAAGTTTTTCAAAAAATTTCATGACTTTCAAAACCTTGTTGAAAGGCAATTCAATCGCAAAATTCTTGCTCTCTAAACAGACTGGGGTGGTGAGTATGAAAAACTCAACTCCTTTTTCACAAAAAATGACATATCTCATCATGTTTCTTGCCCCTACGCCCATCAACAGAATGGCTCGGCAGAACGTAAACACCAGCATATAGTTGAGGTTGGTCTATCTCTTCTTGCTCAAGCTTGCATGCCCCTAAAGTTTTGGGATGAAGCCTTCATTGCTGCTACATACTTGATCAATCGTCTACCTAGTAAAGTTATCAACTTCGAAACCCCTCTTGAAAGATTGTATCATGAAAAACCCAACTATTCAGCTCTTAGAATATTTCGCTGCGCTTGTTGGCCTAATCTTCAGCCATATAATAAACACAAGCTTCAATGGTGGCAGCGGTAAAAAAATGCAGCCCCAAACCGTGATTTTATGCAGCAACAACAGGTTCATATACAGCCAGGCGCAGGACACGAGGAGGATCTGCCTGCTGATGCTGATCCCGACGGATTTGGCGCAGAAAACGATCCCGAGGAGGATCTGGTGGCGCCACAGACGCCGCCCCCTCCAGATTCTGCCGCGGCCCACTCAGCGAGTGACACGTCGTCTGGACCCGGTCCCTGGTCAGGTGGCGCGGTGGATTCCTCCCCCTCTCGTGACAGTTGTCGCGAATTGAGTGGGGGCAGGGGCCGTGTCGCTCGAGGAAATGATGGCGGTCGGTCGGTGGACCGCGTGCTGTCGGCTGGCGGTGGGTCGCTTTCCCCAGGCCCACAGGCGCGGGATCTGAGCCAGCCCAGGCACGCAGCAGTCGAGGAGGGTTCGTCTGCGCCGGCTCGGTCTGCTCCGGTACGAGGTAGTGGACGGGGATCTTCTGCGGCTGTTGACTCTGCGCCACAACGTGTAAGAACAAGGTCACAAAAAGTTATTTTAAAGCCTTCAACATACAAGGATGGAACGGTCAGGTATGAAAGAAATTTCAAGTTTGCAAATTTTGCTTCCACTGGAGAACCACAGAGTTTGACTGAAGCATTAAATAATGCAAGTTGGAAAAATGCTATGAATATTGAGTATGATGCACTCATGAAAAAGCAAACATGGCAGCTAGTTCCTTGCAAGCAAGGGAGGGATGTTATAGATTGTAAATGGGTATATAAAATCAAGAAAAGACCTGATGGCACAATAGATAGATACAAGGCTATGTTAGTAGCTAAAGGCTTTAAACAGCGATACGGTATTGATTATGAGGACACCTTTAGTCCAGTTGTTAAAGCTGCTACTATCAGACTTGTTTTGTCTGTTGCTATCTCCAGGGGATGGAATCTTCGCCAATTGGATGTGCAGAATGTGTTCTTACATGGCGTTCTCGAAGAGGAAGTCTATATGAGACAACCACCTGGGTTTGAAGATGGTTCTAAACCTAATCATGTGTGCAAGCTGGACAAGGCTTTATATGGCCTCAAACAAGCCCCTGGAGCTTGGTACTCAAGGCTAAGCACTAAACTACAATAACTTGGGTTTCGAGCTTCCAAGGGAGATACTTCTCTGTTCTTCTTTAGAAAAGGAAAGGTGATAATATACATGTTAATTTATGTTGATGACATAATTGTTGCTACTTCGTCTCCAGAAGCCACTTCAGCATTGTTAAAATAGTTGAAAAATGAGTTTGCTCTTAAGGATCTAGGAGAGCTTCATTATTTCCTAGGAATTGAAGTTAAAAAGGTGCATCATGGTATAGTATTAACTCAGGAAAAATATGCCAGAGATGTAATCAAGCGTGTAGGTATGAAAGACTGCAAACCCTCTGAGGGAGTCCTGGATTAGGGGGTCTCCGGACAGTCGGATTATATCCTTTGGCCGAACTGTTGGACTATGAAGATACAAGATTGAAGACTTCGTCTCGTGTCCGGATGGGACTCTACTTGGCGTGGAAGGCAAGCTAGGCTATACGGATATGGATATCTCCTCCTTTGTAACCGACCTTGTGTAACCCTAACCCTCTCCGGTGTCTATATAAACCGAGGGTTTTAGTCTGTAGGACACAACAACTACAACATACAATCATACCATAGGCTACCTTCTAGGGTTTAGCCTCTCTGATCTCGCGGTAGATCTACTCTTGTACTACCCATATCATCAATATTAATCAAGCAGGACGTAGGGTTTTACCTCCATCAAGAGGGCCCGAACCTGGATAAAACTTCGTGTCCCCTGCCTCCTGTTACCATCCGCCTAGACGCACAGTTCAGGACCCCCTACCCGAGATCCGCCGGTTTTGACACCGACATTGGTGCTTTCACTGAGAGTTCCTCTGTGTCGTCACCATTAGGCTTGATGGCTCCTTCTATCATCATTAGCGATGCAGTCCAGGGTGAGACTTTTCTCCCCGGACAGATTTTTGTATTCGGCAGCTTTGCACTGCGGGCCAATTCGCTTGGCCATGTGGAGCAGATTGAAAGCTACACCC